TAGTAATTTAAGAAAAGAAAATGCATTCATTATCAAAAAAGTATTAAAGGAATATTAAGCACTTCAAATAGTATGTATCCATCCTGACGCTTCAGGGAGGTACTTAGTGGAGTTCTTGGAGGGTCTACAAGGAATCCAAGAAAGGATGGACATCAGGCTGTGAGAGTGGTGAGCTCCTGGGTCCAGCCCTGCATGGACAACAGACTCCACTCCTCAGCCCAGGTCGGGGAAACATCAGAAGGGCCTCCCTCAGGCCATCTCCACACTCTCACAACAGGTCTTCCTCAAGGGCAAGATGAGGCTGTGCTGGCAGACACTTGGGACCTACCTAGGTCCGAGACTCCCACCTATGCACAGCACCCAGCCCAGGGCACTGCTCTCCAGTGAGAAGGCAGATGCTGCATGAACTCATGAGAAGGAGGCCTACTGTTCTCCCCGATTCTAAAAATGAGAATGAATGGACCCAAAGTCCTGTCTACTGCACACAGAGGGGTTTCCCTGGCACAGTACATCTTGCAACAGAAGAGGTCTCTCCACCGAGTTTCTGATACTAAGTGATAAATGTTAAGTAGCAAAATGCATGTGGAATAGCATAAAAAGAGATTGACAGGCCAGTGGAATAAGAGGCTTCTCAGGTCCTCTATTGCTAGAGGCTCTACTGGGACTTGGTGTATGATAAAAGTGGCCCTATAAACCAAGGAGAGAGCAGGCTGTTTGGTCATGAGAACGAGGCTCACATATGGAGACCTCTATTTAATATACAGAGATGAACTCCAGGTGATTTAGAGATGGTTATGGCTTGTGTCTAGATGCCCCCAAAGCCTCCTGTGGTGACAGGGCTTTTTCAGAGGTGGCTGAGTTTAGAGAGGGTGATTGATTCATGGTGCAATACTAGGCTCAAGGGCACTAGGATTAAGAGTGTGAGCGCTACCCGCCCTACGTAGCCTGGATAAGATCTAAGGGCTAGAAAGAGCATGGTTTTCTCTTGGTTCCTTTGCTGTGCTCCACCGCCATGAGATGCTGCCCCTCTGCCATGTGCCACCCTGCCTTGGAGAAAGCCAACCATGGACTGAAAGCTCTACAGACCGTGAGCTAAGGAAACCTTTCCTCCTTTAACTTTGGGTTTCAGGTATTTTGTCTCAGCATCAAGAGTGAAGGAACTAAGACAGAGAGCTAAACATGAAAACTAAAATTATAAACTTGGAATAAAGAGTATCTTCGTGACTCAGGACATGGGGAAAATTGCTTTCTACAAATTAACAAGAAAAAGATGCCAACTCATTAAAAAATGGGCAATGGATATAAAGAAGTCATTTTCTAGAAGAAGCTCAAAAGATTAAAAAACATATGAAGCAATGCTTAGAGTCTTCAGTTATCCAGGGAAATGAGGAATGAAGATTACATTTTATACCCATGAGACTTGGCAAGATTTTGCAAGGCACGTCATGCCAAGGGTGGTGGGAAGACAGGGACCACACTGCTGGGGGAAGCAGACCAGTGAAGTCATTCTGGAGAGGAATTGCTGAAAATAAATACGTGTCCGCCTGTGTCCCATTAGTCCCACTAAGGGATGTGCTGTCCAAAAGAATAACTCACAGCCCCACCATCAAATCTGCATAATGGATCTCCACAGTGCAGCCTGGATGCACAGGACAGAGCTTGAGTAAGGAGCACTCTACCATGATGAGAATCCACGGACCAGCAATGCACACAGCAACATGAATGAATATTGAAAAGAGTTTCAGTAAAACAAAGAAAAAACTGAACAGTCAACGAGGTACAGAATACCATTTACATTAAACCAAACATATGCAATCCTCAAAATAACAGTGTATGTTTTGGAACACTTGCAAACAAAGAGATACAGATGAAACACTATCGAGGGGCTATCCGTCGGCAGAGCAATAGGAACAGGATAAAAAGGAATAAATAAAACAAGAGAGAGGTTTAGCCCAGAGCAATCGAAGTATGCCATGAAGTGAGGAGTTTGGTTCACTTATCTTTAGCACCTGAGATGTTTTATAAAATTTACTCCAATATAAAGTCGAATACAGTATGTTGCCATGCAGTTCTATACAATTCCGATGAGCTTTTAAAACCAATGTTTTCATCATTCAAACAAGATGTCAGCAACTTACAAAATGGACTTAAACCTACTTGTTTTGAGAATCTAATTATATCTCTTCATAAACACATAATGATGTATATAGTAAAAGACAATTAAGAAAAAGAAACAGATTTATCAACTCATGGGGATACAAATTATTTAGACATAAATTAATCGTACCTATTGCTTCCTCATGGCATATTATCATTGCCCTGTGTGAAGCCTTTCCCTTGTTTTAATTTATTTCTTTTTAACACAAAAGTCAGATGCATAGGAAGAGACCACACAGTTGTGCATTGTTCGCAGGACCCTACAAGCAGCAACATGGGGTCTGGACATTGAAAGGGTATTTTTAAATATTGCAAAACAGCCAGCATTTTGTGGGATTAGTCTGAGACATAGTTTAGGGTTACAACAAGTCTAGTCACCCATTTAAGATGGCGAAAGTCTTTTTAGCAGTGGAATAAGAATCACAAGGCATAATGATGCCTGGGTGGAGCTTTGGCATTGCTGATCCTTTTAGTCCTGAGGCCAAAGAGAATGTAGTTTAAGGAGAGCTCAACTGGCAAGAGATGAAGGTGGAAAGTGGAGGTTAGGGACAAAAGACCTTGTGCCTCTGTGAGAGCCACACAAATCCTACAGCAGCTCGGGATATCTGTGGAAGCTCATGGAACAAGACAAAGATGCCCACCTCTTTCCTTGAGACATCTACCTTTAATTCTTCCCCCCACAGGAAAACAACAGTGGAAACAAACCAAAGCAAAACAGTAAAAATCTTTCCAACTTGCTGTACGAGGTCTCTCTCCAGTTAGTCAAATTTGCTTCCCTGCTCTTGCGTTCATTGGACAGACTGGTGTTTCTTGGCTGTATCAACATTTTCCATCTCTACCGTACATGAAATTATATTTTTCCTGGAAATATTGTGCTCAGGCAAGGGATTTAAAAGATGTGAAGAATACCTAAAGGTATTTTAATCCAAAACTCTTTGATTTTTCAGAAATCTTAAAGATATTAACAAGGAGCTAGCAAAAAGTCAAAATGGGGATTGAAAATAATTTAGGCAATGAGTTTAAAGGTAAAATTCTATAAGACAAATTCAACATGTAGAAGCCCCCTTCCCCTTTAACCTTTAGCAGTTGTACATTTGTTCCATCATCAGGGAAGATGCAAAGCACAGAAACACATCATCTGCGTAACAGCCCATTGTACGTTTTCCTCCATCCTCTAGAGCCTTTGGCTTACAGAATACAAGATCACAAACGAGGAGGCTACCAACGTTAAAAACACAGCAACTTGAAGCCCTGTTTATAAGAGACAGAAAAGAAAAGCCTTCCTACTAGATTTGTTTGCCAGGAAAAATGTTATGTTCAGATGTGAACAACGGGCAATTTCTTTTTCAGCCCAGCTGCCAGGAAGGGAAAAAGTAAACTTTATTGCAACTTAATGCCTAACTCGGACATATTCAGTTTCTTATTCTTTTTGAAGCCAAGGCCCCCGTTTGGGCCTCCGAAGATTCATCTTGCTTTGGAAGCTTAGGGAAGGGAGTAGGAGAGCAGAAAGTCTGTGGTTCCTCACAGAGCTAAGTTTCGAGGAGGAATGAAGAGTGTACCAAATGGTTCCCAAGACGATGCATCAATAATAGGCAAGAGCTTCGATTTGGTTTCATGTCCTTCATGGTGACCTCTGGCTTCGTGGACGGACCCTGACTTCTAGTGCTCATTTACAGAGTGCACTGAAAATCAAATTTTAGAAAAATGAATCTATATACAATTACGTTCCTTTCCAAAGGGACTTCTTAAGAATATGAGAGATATGTTAAAACAAATATAATTCTATCTCATCACGATTTTAGTTTATTATTGCAGTTTTGCAACCAGAGTTTCTAAACACTTAGAGCACTACCTTTTCTTCAAAAAGCAGATATAGAATCATATTATCTTAACTAAACTTTCCTTTGAAGGCATCATTGAAAATTATAATTAGACATATAAAGTATACACCCATTCAAAATTTTTCATTATGCACGATGCTAGGATGAATGGCTTATAAAACATAGTGAAAATATGTCTGCCCCCTGGAGCCTGCAACTGGTACTAATAAAATGAGGTGGCCAAGTAGCTTGTTCTATTACTATCAAATGAATATACTAGCTGAAAAAGGAACTAGAAAATTTACATCAAGTACATTCATGAACGTAAACGTGAGTGTGGTAAAGAGTTAAGATTTACTTATTCATGTGGATTAAGGTAGAAAATAAAATTGGGAAGACAAGGGAGTTAGCATCTACATTTGGCAATTTTACTCTCCTAAGGAGCTTTATTAGCAGGGGGAATTGTTTCTGAGGATGATTAGGGCTTTGGAGTAGTTATGGGATACTTGGAGGATCACAGCAAATTAGCCTTCCTGTTAGAATCTCTAGGCTTTGTCTGAGGCCCCAGTCTGAAGCCCCCCACAGCCTCTTCTGGCCCAGCAGGTCCGGGAAGCCAGCAGGGAGCTCTGCAACTCTGGACGTGGGTTACTGGCTCCCTAAGACCTTGAGACCGAAGGCCACCTAACCCTTGCAGCGCAATAACCAGTTCCTCTAGCAGTCTGTGTGTGTGGTAGAAAGAGAGAAAGTGCCATCCTTCAAGGACTCAGGTCATAAGGGTTTTGCCAGGTGGTGAAAAAATGACCATGAGATATTCAGTAACATTCCTGCCTCAAACTATTTTGGAATTTCTCTGTTGGAAATATCACTCGCATCATTAGCCATGTGAACCATTGATCGTATCAGTTCTTGACCACACCTCAGAATTTAAATGGTATCTTACTTTGTTGTAATGATTCTAAGTGGCACTATTTATTATCCCTTAGTGAGTCAAAGTCCTCATAACATCGAAAGGTGGAATCTTACTTTTATTTGGATAGTTTTAATTTCATCAAATCTTGTATCAGCAAGAGATTTTCTTCTCTGGCCTCTTCGGTGTCCAAATTTGCACTTATTTCTCATAACTTGTTCATCGTCTTCTATGGGTCTTCGAACATATTTAAAGCGATCTTTGAGAGCTCTTTTCCATGCAAACTGCAGGAAATAACAAAGCAGGCCAGTGAATCTTTAAGAAGATTGCATTCATTCTGTATAAACAATAAAATCTTTGTCTATCATTCTTAGGCTTGACATTATTTTCACGTTATTGTAATATAAATCATATATCTATCCCTCAATTTACTCTTAGAACAATCTTGAGACATTGCCATACCAATTAAAATCCCAAAATTATAGCTAAGGAAGCAGAGTCGGAGAAATGATCTCTATTTCCTTATGAGCAAATGAGAACACCACTGAGATAACATCTGTCAAGAGTATGGCATTAAGATTCTGCCTGATTCTGTGACTCAAGTTGATGAAACCCTAATCCTTGCCCTTCAGAAGGTACCGTGCATGGCCTGCATCGGGGGGACCCAGGGTCTAGCGGTGGCTCTATTTCATAATTCTCAAGTAACCTTCAACAATAACTCTGCTTAGCTTTAGTTTCTGCAACTATGAAAATGGAGCAAAAAGATCTTTCCTGTCAACTGCACTAGGATTTTAAGAGAGTCAGTTGAGTAGCCACTCAGGGAAGGTATTTATAAACCAAAGTGCAGTTCATAAAACACTAGGGCCGTCCTGGCTGCATGTTGAAGTTGGGCCCGGCTTCAGCACTGGTTAAGCTCCTGGGTATGAATGAGTCAGAGGTGCCTCATTGACTCCAGCATCCTGGGGACTCTGCCATTGCTGTGTTACCATGATACCGAAATAATAGATGGTTGACGGTTTATATTTTTCTTAGCCCTGAAATAAGAACGAGTGCAGATGCATTGGTTTCTCATGTTTCCTTCAGCTCTGAAGGGTCTCTAAGCCTTCAGAACCTCGTGGGAGGTGTTATAGCAATCAACTGCCAGGACATTGTTAAATTGCCGATTTCTTCTTCTAACTTCTCCCATCTCTCCTTATTAAGTGACCAGAACCAGCAAAAGAACCAATCAAATGCAGTCTCCTGCATGAGTGTTCAATCAATGCATGTTTGCCGAGCACCTGCTTATGCCTGGCACTGTGAGTTACCCACACAAATGCCTTAGGTAGAGAGACTCAGTAGAAAATATTTATATTATAGAACACTCATCCCCCTTTCCCGTACTTTTCCATCTAGAGGAGGTATGGAAAGTTCTACATGGAAACAAGTCTCTTAATCAATCTGAAATAATAAAATCAGCCCTGAAATTAGGAGCTTCCTGTTGTGACAGATAAAGGAACCCATGGGACTATGAGCAGATCTTTCCCCCGTAGTTTAAACACAGACACAATCATTAGGGAACATCCAGAGACGATGGAGTGTTGACCAAGCATTGTTCAAACTGGAGTTGATTGCTTAAATTCCATGTCTTCAAGACAGTACAACAAAATGTTTTCTGATAGATATCTGAGATAGTAACATACAAGAGGACATCTATGTTATTTAGCTACGACTACTGATGTGTATGCATGTGGCATATAGAGACACAGGGACTAATTGTGTATCTTTACGTATATGAGAGTAATTGTTCCTTAAATCCTTCATAATTGTTCCTTAAATCATAAACTTCTAGTGTCAAACACACTGAATTTGTTATTACAATCTCTTTTTTTTTGGTACCAGGGATCGAACTCAGGTCCTTGAGCTTGCGCAGGAGGCTGCGAAATCACTGAGCTAAATCCCCAGCCCTGTTATTACAATCTTTAGGGTTTTTAACTGCATATTTCAGTAGCATCAAGTGCCTTTACACTGTTGTACAATGAAGGCTCGGGTCTTTTCAACCCAAGACACAGGGGGTTCAGACAGAGGAGTTTATAATAAGAAGCAGTTCTCGTCTCTGGCAGAACAGGTGACTCATTTGGAGGACTTTTGAATACACTAATGCCAGAAGCCCATCCTTAGATCACAGGAATCAGAATCTCTGGGCTCCTCGGTGCAGCCCGAGCTTAGAACTGTTGTCCAGAGCAGCCTGGGATCCACATTGCTCTGAACAGTGGGGACCTGAGAGACCAGGAGAAGCAGGTGAGCAAGACCTCTGTGCTGGATGACCGCCCACTGGGTCAGTCCCAGGGCAAGGAGCACACTACTGATTCCAGCTCGATGCAGACACAGTTGCAGCCTTCCCCTTCCAGGAGTCACATCTTCTAAAGACCCTTCCTTCCTAGAGACACCTTGTTACCAAGGAGCTCCCAATCTGCTTTGAGAGAGGGACAGAAAGATGAAGCCAGAAAGACAGAGAAGAGGAACACAGGGTGTAGAGAGACACAGAAAGGATCACAGAGAAAGAACGCAAAACACAGTAAGAAGTAGCAACTGACAGAAAGAGAAGCTGAAACAGAAACAAAGGGGAAAAAAATCAGAGCCCAGATGGACAAATAAAGCTCTTATTTGAAGATGGGGTGAGATTAGCCGGTGGTAGAGGTGTGAAGTCACTTACGAAGCCACAACCGTCCTCATCCAGGAAAGGGTGGGCCTGCAGCAGGGCGTTGACCACGTCGTTGTACTGCTGGGCGGTGGGGTACCTGCGTGCCATGACAAGGAAGATGCCTTTCACCTCTCACAGCCAGATGCAAGAGGAGGCTGTGTCACACTCAGTTTCCCCCATAGTGTTCTACGTAACAAAGTCGACACTAAAATGTTGGGTGTGCTGGATTTATATCCAGTTCATCATGCAACATCTGAAGAGACTTGACTCCAAAGGAATTCTACTCTTCTTTGAAAACAGACCCTACCCTGAAGCAGCCCATCTGCCCTGCTGCTACTCACAGTGAGCCTTGGAGATACTTGGTCATGTCGGCCTGCAGAAACTCAATGATCCGTATCCTCATGCTGTGATCGGGACCTTTCTGCTCTGCTAGCATGCATCTGACATCATAGGGAAACTCTGGTAACACATAGCACCGGGTCCACTGCAACGCTTTATTCCTTGCTAGAAGATGCTTCGTGTTGCTCCTGTGAAATAAAAACGCGTAAAGAGCAAAATTCTATCTCAGATATGTGTGTGATCCATTAGCTCTCTACACCCTGAAACCTATGATATAAACCCCTTTCCTGAGACCTGAGTATATGACATCATCGATCCACCTTTCACCAACTCGTTATCCACAAACACCTCCAGTCTTATGAGGTGTCTGTTTTCCTTCTCTTTCTACACACATAAGTACTTGTAGTTCTAGAAAAAGTGTCATAACAATGTAGGTTCTAGAATAAAGTCTAAAGGTGGAAAAGATATCAATCCGTATATCTTGGTTTTTTTTTTTTCTTGGTACTGAGGATCGAACTCAGGTCCTTGTGCTTGTGCAGCAGGCATCAAAACCACTGAGCTAAATCCCTGGACCCCAATCCATATATCTTGAAGTGGTAACATGTAATGCACAGCTCAAAATTGAGCAAGGCATCTAACAGGAAAAATGTAAGTTGCAATTCAACAAAGCAAATGAAGCCTATAATGAATTAGTCTTAGTACCTGATTAAGAAATTTTTTTATTATGCTGTTTATAGTGGAATACAAAATCCACCTAGTTTTGGTGAGTTTTAGTTATTTCAATAAGATAAGTTTAGTTTCTAAATTAAATACAAGTATCAAATATTCCAACTCCCTTCGTATGAAGTTTCTGCACAAGGTGACAGAAAACTGCAACTGCAAAAAACAAATCAGCAGTTGCTGAAGGCTGAGAGTGGCCAAAATGGATCGTGTTGATGGCCATGCATCCCTATAAATTTACTAAAATTAACTTATCTGTGTACTTTCAATGGGTGGATTTTATGTTAGGGAAATCAAACATCAGTAAGGCTATTTATAAGATGAAGCATCAGAACCACTTTAAAACCTTGAAATTTGGCACTGATCATTGTGTGCATAAAGAATCTAAAGTAAACTTTACAAGCCAAAGTTAATCGAAGGCACTGCATAGCTGACGACATGTCTCCTAATCTGACTGGTGGGGATGGGAGTGAAGGGACAGGGGCCAGCACTGGCACAGACGACAGCAGAGAAACGTCCCATGTTATAGTGAGGAAGTCAGCTGTCTGACGATGGTGGAGTTCTTAGTGGTGCAAACAAAATTCAGATGAGTTTTGCAAGGCCCGGCTTCTCTCAGCATTTTGGGTCCCCTTCAGTGAGGATGCAGGAGCTGTCACAGGATTTGGGGAATAAAGCAAGCAGAAGAAATCCCTTTCATCCTTCTGACGACAATCTCCTTTGCCTTTTCCTCCCTTCGGCACTCACGATATCACTGGTGAAGAAAATGTCCTAGCTAAAATAAGCACATCGATAATTTGCTACTGAATTCAGTACAGCAAAAGACAGTTCTCAGACACAAATCTCTGCTCCAGCCCAAATTAGTTTCTAAGTATGTTTTTCTCTCGTTTCATCCATTCAACCAATATATACTGGGAATCTACCATATTCCAGCTAGTCTCATGTAAGCACCATTTCCTTCTAAATCCATTATTTTGTTCCTTTTTCCCACAGCCAAATTATCTCTCCCTTACCTATTTAGACCAAGGTTTATAAAATAAAAACAAATTTGTTGGCTGTGTGTTTTGTCTTCCTTAGGGGTTTTAAAAAGCAATACAATTAGGCAGATATTAAGCATGGTTTCTGTACCTTTTAGCATCCATCTCCTTTTCCCCAATGAACTCCAAGTAGCTAAGCTAGCTGCATGCTCCCTTTAGCTTTTTGAGGTTGCCCTCATCTAACTTCGCACCATATCAATAGATCCCTTCAATATTCCCATGCTGTAAAACAAGCCTTGGTACCATTTCTGGCTTCTGTGTCCTTCTTCTTTTTATTAGTGCACGTTTGCAGGATATAATGTTTATATTCCTTGTGTGTAGTTGGTGCATGTACATAATACATCGTCATTCTTTTTTTATCCTCTTTCCTTCCCCCTTTCTCCCCTTCAGCTCTTGATCCTTTTCCTATTTGAGATCTATTTGCCTACTTCCTATTGTCTATCTTTCATTTTGCTCCTTATTTATAATTTGGGTTTCTCATATAAGAGAAATCATGCCTTAGAATAGTGACTCCAATGTATGAGATTATTTCTATCCAACACTCAGAATGTAGTGAGACACATATAGGATCTACTGAAGGAAGATAAACCCTTAGGTTCCAAATAAAGTTACTAGGCATCAAATTTTCCTTTTCTTTTGATTAAAGCAGTATGAAAAAGAACTCTGGAAATGACCACAATCCCTACTATGCCAACTAATACAAATCAAAATAACTATTACACAAGAAAGATGACTCATCAGAAATTAAAAACACATTCTAATTTGGAAGCAGATAACTGTAGGCACAACCATGTTCCATCTGTAAAATTATATTTCATTGCATTAAAAAAACTTTATTGTGATGTGGGAATTATTCGTACCATCTACTGTAATATCTCTACTGTAATATCTCGGAGCACCAGCAGAAGTCACCTGAAGAGTGCGGGATCAGAAAGCATTCCCAAATTTAGAAAGAACACTGATAATTCTGCTATTACCTCAGATCCAAGGCTCTTTGACAAAATCATAACCATAGAGCAACAGATTTGTAAATCAATGGTTCTCAACTCTGGGTACAAAGAAAATTAGCTGAAAAGCTTTAGAACACATTATTGCCTAGGACTGACCACAGATGAACTGAATCAGCCTACTGCTTACCAGCCACCCTGTTCATGTGAGTGATGTTTATAAAATGAAACAAAGTGAAGCTGACAATTTGATAATTGGCAGCATCATTATTGAGTTTTTAAAGTTGTATTGGATATTGACAAATGATAATTGTCTGGATCAGGTATGATTCAGAGATACAGTGAATTTTTTAAAATTATTTCAGTAAAACACATGTTATCATTAATTCTCCCGAAAATGCTCTCCATTGCTTCCATCACCTTTATCCCACTGTTCTTGCCTCTTTCTGGAGTAGTTCTGGAAGGCCTCTTTCCCGAGTGTCTTTACACCATCATGGGTGTTTGGTATCCTGAAACAATCCAAAACATTTACCCTTATGGTCGTTTTGGCTTTGGGGAAGAGTCAGAAGCTGCAGGGTGCCAGATGCAGTGAATAAAGTGAAAGGCACAAATACACCACAATGTTTTCACAAGACCGCCTCTCTGTTAGAGGACAGCATTCACCATATTTTTGATTACCTTCTAAAGACAACTTATAAAGAGGACTTCTGCCTCAGGAAGTGGCAAGAATGATAGGACAAGTGTGTTAAAACCAAGGAGAAATATTTTGAGAGAGATAAATGGCAATGTGCCTTTTACTGTAACTTTTTTAAAAAATGTAAACATTCATCATATGTTTTGATCACCCCTTGTACTTATGGGGTACGAAGTAATGGTATATGTGTACAATGTGGAATTATTGTATCAAGCTAGTTAAGGTATCTAGCATCTCAATTCTTATCATTTATCCCCTCTCACTGAAACATTTTACCTTCTGATTATGGAGAAATTATTTGAAATGGTCAGGGCTGGGGATTTAGCTCAGTGGTTCCGGCGCCTGCCTCACAAGCCCAAGATCCCGAGTTTAACCCCTGGTACCAAAAAGAAAGGTCAGTTGAGGGTTCTCATGAAAAGCTCACTGAGACTCCAACTTTGTCTAACTATAGTAAAAGTGAAAAATGATTCGTTTTTCTTTTGTTCCCAAAGAGCAGACAATATAGCCAGTGGAGGTCACACAGGGTAAGAAAGATGGTCCTATTAAGAATAGGTCCTTACCAGCTTGCTAAGGAAAATCTGAATGCACAGAAGACCACAAATTGAATTGAAAGGGAGCAGAAGATATACAGATGTTACGTGAGGCATTACATTTTCAGTAATGCTTTATTGCATTTACCAATCCAACTCCCTATCAAAACCCTAAACATCTCCCTGCTACCGCCCGCCCGCTGCTTTTCCTCAATGTCTTCTATCCCAATCTCTTCCCAATCACCTTACCAAGACTGCTTCCTCAAGAACCAACATGATTTCTTTATTCACAAACCAAGAGCTTTGTGACAATGTGCTTTTCCAAGACCTTTCTTACCAAACTCAGCAGTGTTGACCATTTATTTCCTCACTACCTTCTTTTCTGCCTTGATGCTATTCTATTTTTGTGATCCTCTTTGTATCCCTCTGACGACTTGTTTTATTTTCATTTATTCCTCTTTACCATCTGTGGGAATTTACCTGTGGTTTAGTCCTTACTGTCTTGATCCTTAATCTTCTATTGATCTGTGGTTTCTCCCTCAGGGAATTCATCTACCATCCTCAGCTCTAACTCCATGTTGATGAAGTACAAATCTATCTGATACTATCTTCTCTTTGCCACCTTCCATCCCAGATCTCCACCAATTTATGCATTGTTCATCTCATACTCAACATATCCAAAATACCACAAATAATCCACCATTTTTGTTCTTTTAAATGAGATACTCATTTGCTATGGACTAAATTGTGCTCCCCCTTCTCAAATTCTATGCTGTGAAACTTCCTTTGATCTTCATGTCCTAGTTTAATATAAATTACTTCTAAGAGGGGCGATCTCAAAATATGGTCAAAATACAGTCACACTGAGGGAAGTAACTGATGCCAAACTAGGACACATAGATTAAAGGGGGCTTGAGATGCTTAGAAGAAGAGCCACCAGAGAGCTCACTGTCTCTTAGTGAAGGACATACGGACAAGGTAGCCATCTGCAGGCAGGGGACAGTCACCAGAAAATGGTCAGCACTGTGATCTCAGACTGACAGACTACAGAATTTTGAAAAATATAAATTTCTGATGTTTAAGCTACCTAGGCACTGATATTTTGTTATCAGCACTAATATGGCACTCCAATTTCCTTGCTTTTTTTACAGTACCTCTTCCTCTTAGCAACTCAAGTTTAATACCTTGACATTCTTTCTAGCTTCATTCCTTACTCCTAGGAGCCACAAAAATTTCTCTACATTTTATCTTCTGTATTTGTCT